CTGCAACAACCGAGTCCACGTATTTCATTATACATACTCGTCAAATGTTACTTGCACATTGTTTCTCAAAAAGACAGTGTTGGAGTTATACATCGCCTAGACTTTGACACAGTGTTGGAGTTATACATCGCCTAGACTTTGACCCTTTTTACTCGATATGTGTTGGAACCCCCTTCTACCCTTAAGCGCTCTTTTTGACAGGGTTTCACATATCTCACATGGTATCAGAGCCAAAATATATCACTCTTCAGGACTTGGCACTCTGGGAATCTGTACCCGTCCAGCCTCCGTTAGAGGGGGTGTTGGAATCTCACATTGGCTATATTTTGACCATTTCGTGTTGATATATGTTGGAACTCTCCAACTCTCCTCAATGGATCTTTTGGGAAGTAATCAGATGGGTTCCACATATCTTACACATAGGACACATATGTGGCATATCTAGAGTAGTGGACTGCAAAACCCCGCTATGCCAAGGGGTCGTTTACAAAACGCGTTTATCGATAAGTGTCCCCACCCTCACTTACCGGGTAAAATTTTTGGTCCTTGCTATGCTCACCCCGTAACGTAAGTGTCAACAGTAACAAATAGGTCATTCTAGATTAATTTTTTTTCCGAAAAAGGGGATGATGCAACTTTTTGGGACATCCAGAAATGGAAATTGTAGGCATTTTTATGGGATAAAATAAGTATTTGCTCTCAGTTATCTTGAAAAACAGAAGTTCATAATGTTCCTAAATAATGCTTCCAAGCACAAAAAACGTACCTTACGAACGGAATCCAGAGGGTAGTTATCCCCGAGCCTAGGATCAATCATTTTGACCATGTCGTCTTTCTGATCTGGCTGACTAAGAACTTCTTCAAACTGTAAATCATCAAAGGTCAAACTCATTAGTTGTTATCTAAGAGCATCTCCAATAGATCATCTAAAACGGAGAGAATATAGAGATTTTGGAATTTTTATTCTTTTTTTTTTTTTGGCTCCATAAGATCCTCAAAAAATGGAGAAAGTAGGAGAGGTGGCAAAAATCTGCAAAGTTCAAGAATCCTCCAAAATTAAATGCCGGTAGAGAGTTTCTTTTTATTATTCCCACCAATTAAATGTCGGAAGTCTGTTGGGGTATTAAATGTATTTAATATCTTAATACTATACTTGGGGTCTTGTTTGTTAACAGCTTAATGAACTTAATGGAACTCACAGCTTAGTCGGTGAACTATACATGACTTTCTGGTAGTGGCTTAATGATATATAAAGTGTCTTATTCAGTAAGCTTCTAGGCAGAAGCTTTATGTAGAAGCCATGTTTTTTCTAAACCTGACCCTTCTAATTAAAAAACACCCTCCTCTTATCTATGAAAAGACCCTCCGAAACAAAAACTTCCTGGTCTATATAGACAGATTAATCCTCACAGACAGCTTTATCCCTACAAGATTTAATGAAAAACCAACCAAGCAGCCCCTTAATGTTGTAATCTCCAAAATAGAGAAACTATTGAAATTGGATATAATCTCTTTGGAGATTTTGGTTTTATTCTTCTCCATTTTTGAAGAAATTATGGGAAAATAGTTGGAGATGCTCTAATAAGCTAGCGATTGGCATCTTATGCTTAGCATGTACATTATTAGATAAAGAATGTGAGCAACTAAACTCACCAACGCAACTAGGCCCTTCGATTCAGCAACATCGCCATTTGCTTTCACTATGGCTTCCTTGGCTGAAATAAGTTCATAAAGTACAACCCCAAATGCATAGACATCTACTTTTGGAGAAACATCCCCATATTGAGCATACCTGCACCGAATAATTAGAAAACTTGATCAACGGCCATAATCTCCCAAACAAACATACGCATGATCTAGTTCTAGGGTTGGCTTGGTTTCCTTGCATGCAGCACCCATTCCTTGCACCCTGCCTTGGTTTGCCCAGGATTTTTCTGGGATTTAATTAAAATCTCTTTTAAGGTTATATACCTAAAAATCCCTCTAGTTTTATTGTCTTCAAGCAAAGAATTGGTGCACTCTTTAGTTACTAATAGGTGGGTATGACCTCTTGACAAGTGGTTTTTAAATCCATGACATTCTAACAGGTTTTCTAAGCATTCTTGTGTATGGAAGTGAAATTCTTCTGTCAAGCAGTGGCATCCTCAAACTTGTCAGAAGGTCATGGATTTAAGAAAAACTATTGCTTTCTCAAGCCTATCAGAAGGTCATGGATTAAAAAAAACATTGATAGAAGGTCATTAAACCAAAGAACCCCTCATTAGGCACCATCTACGACTTTGATGCAGGATCTATGAACCACATACAATTATTGGCATCAGGGCTCTTTTTAAAAACATATGATCAACCATCTGCTAGCTGAGTGATTTTACTAAAGTAAGAAGATTTACTCTGGTGGCATATATCCGAATGTACCCACAAGACGTGTGGGCAACGATGTACTTCCAACTTCAGTCAGCTTTGTTAAACCGAAATCTGCAACCTATAGTGAACATATGGCCGATAAATCAGAACCATATTTCACTTGTTTTACCAAAGAAATAGACCATAACGACCAAATAAATTAGCAGAAACAAAAATATAAACGATTGCAAACCTTTCCATGGAAGTTCTTATCAATCAGTATATTTGCTGATTTAATATCACGATGTATATAAACAGGGACAGTGTGTTCATGGATATACTCAAGACCCCGTGCTGAATCAAGAGCAATCTGCACTCGGGTAGACCATGGTAGTGGGTCCCTTCCTGCAAACAAGCATTAAAAATAACATAATTTTTCTTGTTTGAATGAATTCATTATCATAAAATGAGTCTTCGTATTCAAACTTAATTGACCTGATCCATGTAAATGTTGACTCAAGTTTCCATTTTCAATGTACTCATAGACCAAGAAAAGGGAACCCTCGACACAATATCCTATCAAACGCACCTGCATCAGATATGGTCAAATCGTAAGACATCATATCTCATATTGACAATGAAGGGGATATATCAACTCAGAATCTTACAAGTATAGTTATAATTGCTACCACTGACATCACTCGGGTTTCTAATAACAGAACACCATAGATGGATGCTATCTTTTTAGTTCTTCTTTCAGAGGATATGCATAACGAATACCAACATTTTTTCAAAACCACATATAACAGACCAGGGGTAGGATTTATAGCTAGCATAGGCGGGAGGAAGGAGTCTGGAGAGGTAGAGGATCAGGGTAGGGTTAGTGAGCCGGCAGTTAGATCTCCTGAATCCTAAGTTAGATTAGGGGTGTGCAATCCATCCTACCTTGTTATGTTATTTTATGTTTTTCTTATACATGCTTTTGTTCATATGTTTTGTTTGCTTGTCTGATTGGTTTTTGTTCCTTGTGATACAACTAATGTGAATTCAAGAAAAGGAAAAGGGAAGAAATCGATTATCTATTAAGCTGTCAACTTCTGAGAGGTGACTCTCTCCTATATAGGGTTTATACAAAGAACAAATTGAATAATTCTCTCTCCTCCAGATCTGCATCTATATACTTGGTTTCCCCCCATTTGCCGACTACAACAAAACCCACTAGCTGTTTTTAGATTCTTTCAGCCAATTATTTTCATGAATTGTCTAAATTGCCCCTCATCCCCTGCCTTTTCCTAGAACACATAAATTGTACTCTCAGCATAACACCTTGCTTCTAACTCATTTTGCAAATTTTAACACCGGCTCACTTGTTTTCAAGTTTCCTTTCTTGTCCTCTTTGTTTCCCACACACTTTTGCAAAAGCTGGGGTCTTCATGGAAACAGCTGGTCAACTTTTCGGGTAAAGGCCAGGTCTACATACATCTCACTTTCTTCAGACCCCACATTCAGGTGGGGTATACTGAACTTGTTTGGTTTGGTTTTATTCATATGGTGAATGGTGAAGGTGCAATTTTTTTCTTCATATCATGTTGCAAATCACACAAGGGGTGATGAACAGCATGTTGCCATTCTATTTATTACCAAAGGCAGTGAAAGTTCAAATTAGAACACCTCATACCAGGTTCAGGTGATGAACATGCGTTAGAACCTTCAGTTCGGCTAGAAATTCTCTTGATGCTTGCATATCCATCTTCTTGATAGCAGCTTTCTGCAAAAGTTTGCTGTGATGAATTAGAAAAGCTAAGCAAAATCCAGAAAGACATAAAATCACATTATAAAACTGGACTCATAGTCATAGGTGCAGTTATGGAATTAAAAGAACATAATCATTAGATGATGCATGATAACAAGATGAAAGGTGGAACTTTATGCATATGGATGTGCCACTTGTAATACAGGGTATCAACAGCATCAAAAGTGGTCTACAATCAACTTCGTAAACTAACTGAGCTCAAATAAGGGTGCGTTTGGTACACGGACGGGACTGGACAAGACTCTCGTCTCATCTCTCTGATTTTTGTTCCACCTATTTTGGTGGGCCAAAAAAACGCATTTGTGTCTCACTTAGTCCTTTCCCATCCCAATCTAATGTCGCACCAAACATGGGACACCAAGTTTTTGTTTCGTCTTGTCTTGGTCTAAGTGCTTCTACTTGCATTATGGCAGTTCCTAAATCTATAACGAGCCCAGACAGGCTAGATGGCAAACCAATATATATAGCAGAAAATCACATAATTATAGCAGCAGCAAATATCTAAAACCCTAGTTCCAAACCTCGCCTCTGAGCTCTGCATAGAAAACAGCCCCAAAACCACCTTGCCCAATCTTGTTAGCAAGGCTGAAATCATCTGTAGCTTTTGCAAGCTCTTCATATGAGAACTCCACAGATTTGTCAACTGTTATACCCGTAAGGCCAGGAGAGGCACCAGCAGGAAGACCTCTAGAATCTGAACCTCCAACTGAAGTACCATTCGGGGCTAGGTTTGAAAGAGAAAACAAATCAATAAGTCGATGCAAAATTACCGATAAAATGGAAAAAATATGGGAAGCATGTATTTGAATTGTTTAGCATATATTACATAGCTATGACTAAAGTAAAATCCATTAATCAACCATACTCTTCTTCATTTCTATTTTAGTCACTGGACTTCAAAAAATCCACATAAAAACAACCATACTCTTAAAGAAAAATGTTTTGAACCAATGTTGACCAGGAGACCTACTAATGGCTGGTTTAGACCCACATTGTTAAAAAAAATTGTTTAGAAAGCATAAATGAGTTGGATATTAATTGCATAACAGATCAACCTCACTTAAATTACGGTCCATATATTTGATTCCATTTCTTATATTAGTCATTGAGCTTAAGTTCTTTTTAATAGAAAATCTACCGTTTCTATAAAGATTTTTAACAGCAAATGTGGAACTTGGGATAACATTTATGTTACGTGAGAAGAATTTCTAGAAAGAATTCAAAATAATGATGAATCAACGAAACAATCAATATACAGCATCCTTGTCAAGAAATTTACTGCTAATACATATTTACTATTTAGAAACTCATTACTAATAAGTACTTAAATAATCTCTTGTATGCAATTAACTTCATTCACAATCCATCTAGAATCAAAAATTTAATTTGTAACGGAAATTTATGCAATATAACTGTTAAAATTAGACAAAAACATTAGTTTTGAAAGTTCGATTGTTTTTGTGTGTCTTGCTAAGGTTTAATGACGAATCCATGATGAGAGTGGGTATTTGTAACATCTTAGGCGGATCCCACATCCCAAATGGGGATGCCAGGAATTTAAGTGGGGTAGTTTGTAACAACTCATCCTACAAGGATAGAGAAGTAGATTTGTGAGCTCCAAATAAGCTCAAAGTTGTGGGTTTGAGCTATGGGGCGGTACACTATTTTACTTCCATAGGGTTATAAAAATGAGCTATTGGGTGACTGAAAAGGGCATAGTGTGCACTGAACTAGAGGATGCTCAAGTATCAAATAGAAGGTACAATTATCAATTTCAGCAGGGTATATTTCCTACTTTACACAATTTGACATCGAAAAGGCATTCCTGGTGACACTAGATATTTTCATTAAAGCACGTTGTAAACCATGGTTGTATCTTGTATGCAAAAACAGGTATGTAGTAGGGAGTGAAGAGCGAGAAATACTTTGAGCAGACTGCATAAGTTGAACCTGTGCGTTCTTTAACAACGACAAACTCTTTTCTGAATGCTTCTTTCTGTAAAATCCACAATACAAGCATCCTGCAACTAACAGCACCCCGGCTACTACTCCTACAGCTATTCCACCTATGGCTCCACCTGATAATCCTGGTTATGTGAAAGCAAATTGTAGCTTAAAACTCTGCATTCGGATTCAAGAAAATATGAAACAAGGCCATTCTGCACTAATGCAAAGGGAAGGGTGGATCACCTGAGCTGCAAAAGATAGCAGGATCGAAGAAGACATGTTAAAATGATAATAATAGTTATAAATGTCAGAAGAAAAATATGCCAGATTGGAAGGAAAATAATATACCTGGTTCTCAAGGATGGATAATTTCCATTTACATCTGCCAAAAAACAAATCATTAGAACACAACCACTTTCATGAGAATGCCAACTCCAGTAGGAAAAAAAAACAAACTTCACAATAAAACAATGTTCTTACAATTTGTTAGTTTTCTCCCTGAAGATCATTGATGAAAAAGAAAGAAAGATAAAAACAACACATTCATGTTGAATCTATCGTCGAATCCTGCTGTTATAAGAGTAAAACCATGCTAAATGGCTTTTTCTTTTTTGGGATATTTCTATTTGTTCGTTTACTGTTCATATGCTACACTCGAGCATATCCATGCCGCCTGCTTACTACTGCGTCTAGAACTATGACAGGTTTAAGCAACTGCATCATCTTGTTTCATAAACCAATCACCTCATTATCAATTTGGCAAGCAATTCCCCATTAGTATAATCATATATAAGTTGCTTCATCATGACAATTTCCATTATCATCTCAAGATTCTCAAGGAAAAAGTTAAAAGTTGTTTACTAATTACAAAATTGCCTCTTACCCAGTAAGTGGTGGGGCTCTTTACCAGACAAATGAAGCTGACCTAGATGTTTCTCGGTAAGGAAGGAAAGGCTCTCCCATTCACCACTTACCCAGATCGTACTCTTATCCGATTAGCTCTTACCCCATTTGTGTTGGTATGCATATTCTTAGATTTTATTCCAATTTAACAATAAGTAACAGCATATCTAGATGGAATAATATGAACGCAAAAGCAGGTCCATACACAAGCAGTAAACCATCGGATACACTACAAAAATCTATGAACAATGAGAGAGAGACACATCATCAAAAGAAGATGATTATGTAAGAACAAGAACTCCATTGAAGCAGAAAAAACATCCGTTCAAAACAGTTCAAAATACTAACCTCGTCCCGGAATATATACCAAACCCCTTCCTGCACTAAAATTGGCATCGGGATTATACCTCCGAATTAAGTCGGAGCTGAGATTCGCCGCCGACGAAACCGAATTCAAGGTCTCCCCTTGCCGAAGAGGATACGTAACAAACAAACCATAATCACTTGAAACTGAATCATCCCCACACGAACAATTTACCGTCACGTTTATACTACCAGTATCAGGTATACGGTTTGGATCGTAATTGTTAAACCTCCCAATCCAGTCCGCAGTCGTCAAATTAGCATATCTCTGTTCCGCGATCACGGCATACGTATCCTGAGACCTAACGTCGTAGTTGAACACATGGCCTAAGAACTCCCCATTGATACAGTCGCAAGAGAAGGGAATGTTTATCCTGATAAAGGACGGAAGACTATCCTGACTACGGATAGTATCACGATTATACCTGACAATAGTGGCGATATCTTTGATCGTATATTGGGCAATTGAAGTTAGATCGTTTCCTGATTCAACGTAGTAGGAACCAAGTGCTAAATCGCAACCTGTGTTGCATCTAGATTGAACTAACGAACAGAAGCCAATTGAGCTCAAGAACACAAAGATTACTAACCGGAACCCTAAATTGAGCTCCAACATGACTCGCTAGGGTTCATGTGAAGCGTTGACCGACTCGGTTGAACTTATATGGTGCAAATTGAAGGATGATTGAGCGCAGGAATTGAATATGTGGAAGGTATGATTGACTGATTAAAGAAATGTGTGTCGGGTTTTGATTGTAGGCGTGTCAGACTCGTCGACAGCTGAATGTTGCCGCCATTGAAAGTCTTAGCTCTGTTTTCTTCCATTTCTCCTTTGTAGTTTATGTTTGTTCAATTATGAAGATGGATTCATTCTGATTATTATAATTCATACCCGCTCTTTTTTAATATTTAATTCATATTTCTAATTCAATTTGTAACCGATTATTTATATTATATTATAAAATATTTGATAAAAACTCTTAAAAATTATTTTTTTATGAATGAAGTACTGTACATTGATGCATATTGCTTAAAATTCAAGATTACAAATAAATTATACATAAATACAACTTATTAAAGTTTTATGTTTGAATTCGTGTAATTAACCATAGATAAACATAATCAAATAAAGAATAAACATCTCAATTTGAAATATAAAAAATTTAAAATATAATTAAAATAATTATCGAGTTCTAACAAAATAATTAATTATTATCTTCATAAAAAAATTATGTTACTAAACCAAATATAAATTACTTTGTTATTGAACTTAAATTAAATTATAATTAAAAAATTTGAATTAAAAATTTACACAAAAAATGAGGATTATCGATATAATTTTGTCAAATTTTTATGATATCTTTAAATTTATATTTTATTCAAAAACAAGAACATTATCGGTTTTTCATAATCACATAAAACTATATTATAACATCGATTGAGATATAAAATAAAATATTAGAATCAAAATGCATCTCGATGCATTGTGCAAGTACCCTTCTAGTTTAAAATTAAGAATATTATGGAGCTCTTTTAGTTTGTGGAATTCAAAAGAATATAATAGAATTGGAATGACAGATTCCTTTAATCAAATTTTAGTTCATTTATTTTGTTTACTCCTTGAATTCCATCATTTTCTTGATATAAGTGAAAATTTTGAATTTCATTCATTTGTATCCAATTTAACCAATTCCATCCATCCCCTATCTCAACCACGAGCATGCTATTATCATCATTTCCATGCCCTGTCCCTAACCATCGCCCCCAACCGACTCACCTTCTGCCATGCCACCCACGGTGAGGTGGCAGGGGTGGTGTTATGACGACGACAATATTGGGATCGTGGTTGGGGTGTCGAGGGTAGGTTGGTAGCTATGATGACGATAATAGTAGCATTGTAGTTGGTGGCGTGGGGTAAGGCGGGTCGAGAAGTGGACACCCACCCGCTGCCACCAATACCATTGTGTCGTCATAACATCTGTCATCCCCCATCTCTGACCATCAATATCACCATGGCACTAATGACGATTCCAATTTTTTGAGAGATTTCATTCTAATTTCTGTCCTTCAAACGTCTCATGAGATTTTAAGAGCCGGTTGGTTTGATAGATTGGGTTTGAGGTAATTTGTGAAAGGATTTTAGATTAGAGGGGTTTAGATTCGGAAGGTTTTCGAGTCTTTGTTGTGTTTGGTTTGTAGAATTCTGAAGTGAATTAAATTTCATTCTTTATAAATAATTTAAAAAAAAACAAATACAAAAAATTATGAAAATAATTAAATTAACTTTTATTAATCAATTATCAGTAAACAAATGTTCTTAACGTGATTTAAAACATTGTTACATACAATTCTTGATTCCTACAACATCTTGTGAAATACCAACTGATCCTGTAGGATTTCAAAACCCTATGTTTGTGGGATTTTATTTCAGTAATCCCAAAATTTCAAATTCAGGAAATATTTCAAACCAAACATAGGATTGTAATGGAATTCAATTCCAAATCCAATTCAACTTTACAAACCAAGCAGGATCTAAAAATATTATCCAACAAAATTTCCAAAAATAAAGAAAATGGGATTTTGGGCAAAAAAAATTTCTAGAAGACTCTCTAAAATGGAGAAATTAACTGAGAGATGGTGTAAATTTCTCCAAATTTGGATAATTCTAAAAAATTAATCACCATAAGAAATAAATGTTTTTTTTTTATTATATTCCACCAATAAAAAAAGATGAAATAAAATGTTTATGAGAGATAAATATTTTTTTATTTAATATATGAAATATTTTAATAATATAATTAATTATGTAATCTTCAAAATAGAGAATCTGTTGGAGTTGAATGCAATTTTTTTAAAGATTTTGAATTTTGATCCTCCATCTTATTAAACTTTTGAATATGTTGGAGATGCTCTAAGGATTTTGTTTTAGTTTTTTGCTACAACAAATTTTTGATAATTTTTTCCAGTATGCGAAAAAGTAGGACATAGATGTGAAAATCTCCAATTTTAGAGAACTCGACAAAAATGATTAGCATGAGAAATAAATATTTTTTATTATATTCACACCAGTTAAAAAATTTGAAATAATATTTTATTGAATGTCTGGATATTTTAATAATATTAACAATGTTGTAATCTCCAAAATAGATAAATTGTTGGAATCGAAGGTAAAAACTTTTCTAAACAATTTGTATTTAAATTTTGTAAAGTCTTTTGAAGATGCTCTTACAAAAGTTTAAAATATCTGAAGTGGATTTGGTTGGACGTTTTAAGGTTGGGTTTCGGTGAGAAATATAAGAAAGGATCTTTATCATTGGATAAATTCTAATCGAAGATTAAGACTAATGCGGTGCACCAAGATGCACTGAATTAATTCCTATGATAAGCACAATTCATGGTATAAGGATGAGATTAAAAGTGATCAAGTTGTCCAAATCCTTCTTAAGTTTCACACTTTAAATACTATTTTCACACAATCTTTCATCAACGTTTTAAAACTAGGATATTAGACTTGGTCTTTATTTGTTTTTTCATTTTCAACTTTTAATTATCACTTATGTCTGATTTGTTCAGACGTTTTGTAATTCAAACTGTTTATTTTTTTTTATTACATTAGAATCTCTTATCACTTAATAAGGTCTGAATAAATAAGAGGTAAACTAATATTTTACCTCTTATTTCTCTTTTTCATTGATTCTCTTTGACTGAGAACTAATTAGTTTGTGGTAACCGTGAGGTCCAATCTCAACCACAAATCAATAGATAAATTAAGATATTTATAATTTTGGTAATTTTTAATTAAAATTTTAATGCAAGGGTATTTTAAGTATTTTCTCTCCTATCTCCTCTCTTCTCTCCCCGGCTACCGTCCTCCGGCCACCACAGTGGTATCACAATGCATCTTATATGTGATTGGGTATCACACTATGGTCGTTTGTGCAGTCGATCGGATATGTAACACAGTGGTATCACAAATGCATCTTATATATGCTTGAGTATCACACTGTGGTATCACCGGAGGACGGTGGCCGGAGACCGGAGACGGAGAGAGAAGAGAGGAGAGAGGAGAGAAAATACCTAAAATGTCCTTGCATTAAAATTTTAATTAATAATTACCAAAATTATAAATTTCCTAATTTATCTATTGATTTGTGGTTGAGATTGGATCTCACGGTTACTACAAACTAGCTAGTTCTCCCTTGAATGGGCATATATATATATATATATATATATATATATATATAATTTCTATATGTATAGGTTAGCTTAGAAGATTAATATGAAACAAGAACTTCTATCGGCGATCTATCATCTATCAAAAGTAACGATCTTTTCATAAACAAACTCACTGACGTCATTCCCTATAGCATTGGAAGTCTAAAAGATATCCAAAAGGTTCTTACTGTGATTCATATGTTAAACAATTGTTGATATGAATTTCGGCAACGGAAATTTTATGAAAATCAAGAGAATTTTGAAAAATGTTTGCATCTGATTTTACAAAAAAACAAGCTATTAATTCAGACTTCAGACGTTTGTCAGTTTACAAAAACAAACAGTCTTATTGATTCAGATTTCAAACTTCAACATCACCTCCTATAAATCAGAAGTGAACTAATACTTCAGATTTCAGCACCTCTTAAAAAACAAACGTCACCTTAGTTAATAATTTTACAAATATGTAGTCTATTTAATTTTTTTCACTATACTTTTTAGGGGAAATGATTTCAGTTGAAAATTTTCCACAAACTATCTTCACTATATTATAAAGCATTTAACAAAAACTCTTAAAAATCATTTTTATACATTAAGTACTGTTTATGATACATATTACTTAAAATTCACGATTACAAGTAAATTGTGCATAACTACAATTTATTAAAGTTTCATGTGTTGAATTCGTGTAATTAACTGCAAATAAACATAATCAAATGCATGATAAACATTGTTAGTCCCGAAGGGTAAGGCAATAAACAGAAAGTAATTGTAGAAGGGGGGGTTGAATACAATTACACAGATTTTTTCAACTTTTTAATTCTTATTGATTTATATCAAGAATTAATACACACAGAAAAACAAAAGATTGTTGCGGAAGATAGGAAAGGAAAACCTAACCTAAACAATCTTACAA